AAGTAAGCCAGGCCCAAAGAAACGTAGGCCCCATGGTTTCCCTTATTTGCAATATCTAGTATAGGTATGAGTCAAGCGGAAAAGGTCAGATAATGTGATGTCAGGAAAATGAACCCTTAGATGTGTATTTTAATGTTTTTTTCTTTCATGCATGTGTTTCTAATGCATTTATAAGATTATCTCTTTGTTGCTTTGTATGTCCCTCCCCCACAGTATAACCCCTGCTTTCACTATATTTGATGTCAGTATAACTTGTGGAGGAGATGGGGAAAAACCAGTTGTTTAAGGATACAGGTGGACCTGTTGCAACAATGAGAAGTACAAGTTGTCATGTCCAAAACGAGCTTTACAACGTTGGTGCTGGGGGGGGGGGGGGGGGAAGGAGAAGGATTGGGATTATGGGGGGAGGGGGGAGGCTGGGAAGGGATGTGAAGGGTAAACCAAAGGAGGAGGCTGCAATGCTTGGTAAGAAATGTACGCATTATCCTGCCCATGTAACTGTAACTCCTCTGTACAGTATGTTCACAAATTAAATTAAATTTAAAAAAAAAGAAAAGAAAAGCAATCTCTGAAGAATCTTGAATAAGAAGCGGTGGTAGCACCGGCCGCCTCCTGTCCCCCTGAGAGGGACACCAGCCTTCTAGACCAGCACTGCGTTCCAGACCAAGTGGAGCCTTTGCTTTCCCACCCCAGCCTCTTGATGACCAGCTGCCCAACAAAGGGGTGCTTGGGTGCCCAGGGGCAGGGGCGCCATGAGTGCTCTTCCAAGAGCTCCCGCCGTGGGGGGGCGCCGAGGAGCCTTGGGAGACCCGGCCGGCCGCTCTGCGGGGGAGGGGCGGCGGCAGCTGCGTGGGGCAGAGCAGGCTTCGCCCAGGCCCACAGCTGGGCTTGCGTGGCACGGAGGCAGGGTGATGATGAGAGCTGGCCGCTTCCTCCCATCCCCGCTGACAGCATCTCTGCGTGTGACAGGGAGTGCGGGCGGTTCTACACACCACAGCACAGAGCATGGGGAAAGGTGTGGCGTGGATGTGCTGGGCCTGACACCCTCCAAATGTGCCCACTACCAGCCCACCCGCGTGCCAGTGGGCCGTCCACGATGCTGAAACCCGCAGGCACTGTGAGTGCCCCAAGAGTGGTGTCCGTAGTCGATGGGCAGTGGCTGGACCCAGCACGGACGGACGGAGTCTTGCCATTTTCAGGTGCGCACATGGGACCTGTGAGTGACTCTTCAGGGGTCCAGAGCTGTTCTGATCCACCGGAGAGCTGGTCCCATCTGTTCCAGGCAGGTGGCGGAGAAGGGGGAATGGGGCACAGGGAGAGTTACGTCCACCCTTGTTCCCGCCCGGGAATAGCAACCGGCTCCCAGGGAAACCTGTGGCTCTACATGGGCACGTGACACATGACCAAAAAATCAATTTGTAATCTGATTGGAGGTTTTTGATTTCCTCTGATGAGTTTAAATTTCATTAAAAGCAACCTTATTCCAACATAAAAGGAATCCTTGAAGGATAACACGGGGGATTGTCTCACTGAGTATAAAGCATCCCAACTCTTTTGTGTGATGTATTCATGGCATTAATTGTGAGGGCCGACCACAGTGTCCATTGGCAGCTGTACCCTTATCAGGCCTGGGATCGGCCGGGAGCTCACAGCACAAGGACTCACATTCAGAAATTGCTCTCTAGCATATCGACACTTCAGTTATCAACAAACCTTTTTATCTGCTAGGAGGGAGTTTGCAGCTCACGGGGCCAGAAGAAGCCACAAATCAGCGTGGCCAGCGCGGCCGCTCTGCATTCTCCTAATTGTATGTATTCTCTGGGAAAAAAATGATCATCACGGCCTCTTGTCTTGATGAGAAATTGACATTTTCTGAGGAGCTCTTTGGGCACTCCGAGGAGGGGAGATAAGGCCGGAGTGGTTTTCGTGGAGGGGAGCCTTTCTTCCCTTTCAGGGGGCTCTTTATTGCTCTCGTTGACCGACTTGATGAGTATGGATTTCACGAGGTCTTTTTCAGCATTTGAACTATAAAAGGTTCAGAATGACACCACCCCTTATAGACAAAAGATAACCTTGCCCTTTGAATATATTGATTCTTTATTAACTAGGCTGTTTAATGCAATGAAATGAAGCATTAGATTGAAGCCCATTTCAAGTGCTTTGAATAATCTTTAAAAGCCTGAAAGACCTTAAAAGGTAGCCTGACAATACCAGGCATACACTTGGAGAGAATTGCTGTGCTGGCTCAGGATTGAAACCCAAGCGCCAAGTAACTTCTCTCTCCCCAGGTTTGGGGCCTGAGCTGGAGGAGTGGCACTCTCTTCTGTAGCGCGGCGGCCGGCAGGGTCCTGCTGGTGGGCAACACTGTGACTCGGGGCGGAGTGACCCGGGTGGGCTTGAGGCCCACAGCTTCTTCCTTCACTGCCTCTTTAATGGTGGAACCTGCCTGTCACTGATGGGAGAAAAAAAGGTGTTTGTGAGTTTCTTTGTGTTTTGAATAATTGTTTCCTGTTTTGCTCAGCAGAACAAGTAATTAAGATGACATTTGTGAGTAGTAATTTAGATCACACTTATGTGGAAGTGTTATAAAGCTGCAAGCCAAAACATGCGAAGCAAGCTTCCATTGAGGAGAAAATGAAAATACCAAGCGAAATGGAATTGAGCAGGGGAGCCTGGCAAGCACTGGGTGAAACAGACCCTGCCGGGAGGACCAGCGCGTGTGGCTTAGAAGCGCCCCGGGGCCTCCAGGCCAGCCCAGGGCCCAGGGCTGGGTGTGGCCGGCAATGGGCAGGTGCCGGAACATCTCAACCCCCGCCAGCTCCAGCACCCTTTGCAGGGGTCTGCTCACCACCACGAACACCCACGGTGCGCTCTGCCGGCCCAGCTCTTACCAAGTAGGGCACGGAGATGGAGACAGAGGCAGCAAGAGCGGCAGAGCCAGCACAGGGGTCTCTGCCTGCCAAACGCTCTGACGCAGAAGAGGGGCTAGGGAGGCAGGCAGCCGGCCTCCACCCCACAGGGAGCCGGGGGGCCCCAAATCGTGGGTCCCTGAAGCTACGGCCCCCGTGCAACGCACAGTCCAGGCTGAGCAGCGGGGAGCAGGGTCAAGCACCTCACGGTCCCGGCCACCGCAGCTACCGGGTGGCAGGTTCCCCACGCGACTCCAGGATTGGTAGAGCTGAGGGGTTTTTGTTGCTGTTGTTATCTCAAGGGAGTTATAGGAAGGGATGACAATCCTGTAAGCCAGGTCACGAGGACTGTGCTTCTCGGACATCGTCACCCCTTCCTTCGCTCTCTCCCCTCCCCCCCACATCCCTACCACAAGTCCCACAGCCCATGTTTTCTGTAGTGCACACGGAATACGGGATCATTCTGGCCTTGGCCAAGACTCAGCTCTGGGACCCAGGGTGGAGAAATAAACCCCCAACGGAACTCTCGCGTGAGTTTAGTCATTTTAATAATCAAAACAGATAAGATTACCAAAAGTGAAATTCACAGACAAGAAATACTTTAATTAAATATTGTGTAAAATGAACATTTTTATACAGTTAAATATCTGAAAAATGTACAGATAAAACAATCTTATTGTAGGGTCTTTGACAGCAAAATCTACCATTGAAGCGAGACAGTAAAGCAATGAAGGCGTTGACTAATGGAGCTACAACTACCGGGCGCCGCCGCCGCCTGGCTGGTGGTCTTAGCTTAGGCACGCGCTCCTATCCCCTCAATCCTTACTTAGACAAAATAAAACGGAGGCAATTTAGTTCCAAAGTGACTTCTCAGGCTTTTCCACGTAGCTAAGACTTGTCAGCTGTCACAGGACCCGAGCGTGGCCACTGACCACCGGGGACATTCGGTTCATTTCACCGAGTTTCTTAAATGAGCATTTTCTAAGTTGTACCTTTTGTTGTTGTTGTTGTTGTTGTTTAAAAAGGATTTTTTTTTTAAGTCCCTCCTTTTCTTTTCGGAATTTGATTACTGCTGCAGGTTGCAAAATGCTTGCTGTGCTGAGACTGGAAAGCATTTAATGCAAAAGAAAAACGAAAAATCCGACCGTTTCGGTCTGGCTGTGGTTTGGCTCTAACAGGCCCAGGCCCTGAAGGAGGTCACGCGGCGTGGGAAGCACGGGCGGTGCTGCTGGATCTGACCACAGATCCAGAAAAAAAGACGTCTTAAAAACCAGCAGTGGTTCAGGGTTCTCCTGAAATCTCAGGATCCAGGGTGGACCTGAGAGGATTTGGGAAGCAGCAGAGACAGGCCTGGAAAGGAGGTTTGTGCTTCTGTGTGTGTGTGTGTGTGTGTACATTTTACATCATAAGTCTCCAAATGAAATATTGATCAATGATCGTAGAGTGAGCCTGTGATAGAATAGCACAGAAGTTCTTCAAAGAAGTCCACTTTTAAGGCATCAGAGAAGTTAATGTGGCAAACATTTTAATTAAAACATTGGAAGTAAATTTTATTTTAAACTTTAGGCCTCTGAATTTTTCCAGTAAACACAGTTCAGCTATGTGGCAAAGTCATGGGTGGCAGCTAAAATGACTTTTTACATTCTACAAAAACAAAAACAAACAAAAAAAACCACACAAAAAATAAAAAACAAATATATAAAATCAGGACACAGCCCCGACGGAGTCGCCTCTTCTCGGCCGCTCATTCATGCACGGACTCTACTAAGATCTGTCACAGCCGATGGCACCGTGTTCTTATGACTATACAACAAACTTTTTTTCCTCAAAAGTATTTGTTCAGATAACTTAAAAATAATATAAAAATAAACAATGAATTTGACTTTTCCTCAAAATAAAAAAAAAGAAGGATGGAAAGCCTAAACAACAGCAAATATTGGAAGTCCACGTGAAATGTCAGGACAATGGTTCATTTTAACAAAACAGATCAGAAAGACAGCTCTCGGCGTCAGCATTTCCCAGTGTCCCAACACTGGGTCATGGCCCAAAACCAATACAGACGAGGAAAAGACAGAGGTGGGTAAACCAATGTACAAAATTTCAAAGATAAATACAATATTTATAATTGATATGTTACAAAGTAAAGTTCTTTAAGCAACTGTAAGTGTTCATGGAAAAGTTAAGTGTTGGATGAAGACCATTTTATCCCTTACAGAACATAGAAGGAATAAAACTCATTTTTCTAAATATTTAAGTGGATCTGAAAAAAATTCAAGACAAGTGTATAAATATTTAGCTACAACTTTGGCAAAATCACAAAAGTCTACAATTTTATAACCACATACAAAACACATTAGGGAAGAAGGATCTAGAAGTCAAAAGGACAATTTCTGGTACAAGAAACATAGACCTCACAGTAGCCTAAGAATGCAATAGTATACAGTGCTAGCGAAAGTTGAAAAAATGTGGCAGACCGCACTTGCTCACAGGAAGCTCTTAGCAGTGGGAGAATATTGGAACCAACAGACAGGAGCATCTTTCCTCTGTCAGTGTGCTTGTTGAAGGCAAGAGATTCAATATCAAAGTTACAATTTCTAACTACAATAAGTTACAAAGTTTCATTTCATTAAGATGAAGTTAAGCAATGAGAAGCCCTCCCTCCCTGCCACCCTAGATTACATCTCATCCTGTTCCAGTTTGATGGCTCATACCTCCTTGGCCCCTAGTTTCACCACAAAAAAATATTTCACATTATAGAGATACACAACCATTGTGAATCTAAGTATGAGTACAGAAAAATGTCTGGAGGCATTTTCCTCAGTGTTTTTCATGGTCATTAAAATGGTGCATTCACGAAGTTTCTCCCCACACGGATAGCACGTACTAGACAGCCAAGACGGAGTCAGAAACTTTATACAAAATAGGCGTCGCTTTGTTTTCCTTATTCTTCGGGACTGAGAAATGTGAAAATATGAGAAAAGTTCAGTCAGTAAAATGGAATTGTTCGTGTGGAAGTTGGGCTGTTTGCATGTCGATTCTTAATAGTTTAAATAAAATCTTTAATCAAAGTCTTTTGTAGCATCTCGGCTGCTGCTGACTGTTGGAAGGGACCGTCTCCGTCAGCACATCTTAGCACACTACGCGTGTCCCCTGAAGTCCGTCCTTGTGGGGTGCTGGGAGGTACACGAGTCCCTCACATCGGCGGGACTACCAGCCCAGACATAGCTGCAGGAGAGAAGGGAGAGCTTGGTTACGGCAGGCCACCCCTCGTACGCTCCCTCGGGGCCCGCTTGCCCTGCTGAGACGGGGCGCACGCGGGGGGCTCTCGCTTCGCCTCGCCAGCCTTAGGAGTCTCCTTCCTGGGGCCTCTCACCCTGCAGCCCTGCCCGAGGGCCGCTGCAGCAGGGAACTGCTGTGGCCAGGGAGGGAGGGGAGGGCGGCTACTTGGCTCCTATCCCAGCATTCTTCCAGAGGCCGGGGCTGGAGGGGGTCCCCGTCGTCCGGCTGGCACCGGCCAGAGCCGGCCGAAGGCCCTGCTCTTCCTCCCTACACGAAGACCAGCCTTGCTGCCTCCCGGTCTGCCTTGGGCCCCGCCCGGACCTGGTGCTCACTGGCGAGTCGTGCGTAGCGTCGGGGTGAGTCGGGGGCTCGGAGACGCCCACCTGCTCTGGAACCCCTCCCCACCCGCGCCCCCTCCCCAGGTGGCGCCCCCTCCCCAGGGCCCAAGGAACTCTGCGCTGCAGAGCAAGCGCCGCCCCGGCTCGGGCGTGAACTCCTGGTACTCGTGTAATTTGAAATCTTTTTAACTCTAGTGTTGTTTAATTTTTGTCAGGATGATCATCCTCATTAATTTATGTATAACATATTAATACATTTGTTCATGTACTGATGTGAGCTTCAATTTCCCACTCCATTAATTTCAACAGTATTCATTTGTCTCCGACTCACCGTTACCACTGTATGGCTTGGGGGGCCTGTGTGTACACACCACTTGTGTGGCACCGCCTTGCTGGCCTCAGTGCCGGGTCTACAGACACCTGGCCCTCACTGCCTGCCTGCCACGCAGCGCCCGCCTGGAGCCCGCCGACGGCTCCGAGGCCGGTCAGCGGCGCCTGGGGCCTGGGCGTCCCCTCAGACACTGACAGAGGTTGTGAAGACAATTATTAGTGCAAATCACTGATACCTTTCCAGTTCCTTTTTTGAGCATTAGTTCATCAAAGTGAAATATGCCACCGACTTCACAAAAGGGCCAGTTTGTCTTCTCCACGGCTACGTCCTCAGCACCCAGCAGAGAGCCTGGCACATAGTAGGCGCTCAGTAAATACTGGTTCAATGGATTCATGGTTTTTAAGGAGAGACTGGACTTGACTTTCACTGGGAAGAGCATATACCAGAGGTCGTGTCTGGAAGAGCCAGGCGGTGGCCGTCCATTCACACGCCTGTGGCCGCTGTGTCCCAGGGCCATTCTCGAGCTCGAGAGGCTGGGGGTGCCTTGGTGGCCATGCCAGAGGGGCGGGGCACCAGGCAGCGCTGGGTGCCCGCTCCACAGGGCCCTACTGTGGACAGCTGAGTCCAGGGGGCGCCTCCCATACCCTGGGGCCAGCCCTGCCCGCTCTGGCTTAAACGTGATCAGTTTAAAAACAGTTCTTAAATCTGAACTCCTGTCCAGGGACAGGCCGTGCCCGGGCAGCCCTGGCACACAGACCAGACCGCCTGGGCGTGTTCAGGGACAACGGAGCCCCGCAGGCTCACCTCCAGGCCGGGCTGAGAGGCCTGCGCGGGGCTAGAAGCCCGGTGGCACGGTGACCGCCATCCTCACCCCGAGGCTGCCTGAACTGCCCGCGGGCTCCCCGCAGGGCCTGCACGCCGCACTGCATGGGGCTCAGCAGGCCCCTTCTTCACCAGACCCCTGCTTATTCCCACGGGTGGCCCCCGTTTTGGGGTCCAGGGCACTTTACGGAAGGGCACGTGGTCACGGAGAAAGGATGAGCCAGGCAAAAATGTGCTGGGCAGCACCTGGAGCTTGTGGGGCCCCGACGGGAACTGCGGGTGGGGTGGCTGTGGGCCAGTGGAGCGCATGCAACGCCTCGAGCCCTCCAGGAGACAGAGAAGGTGCCGGAAGGGCCGAGTGCCAGCCCGCGCCGCCCTCACCTTGCAGTCCGTTCCCGTTGGCGCTGGTGCAGGAGGGGGGAGGCGAGGCTTGGGGCCGGACCACGGGCGCAAAGGCGCTCTTCTGTTTCACTGCGGAGATGACATTGGCAGGTGAGAATGAGAAAATGCCGTGTGTGCCGCTACAGTTTGAAGGGAGGGTGACCGAAGAGGCTGCCATGGTGGGGCTGGACGGCACTACTGCAACAAAGCAAACACGGTCAGCACGCGCGGGCCGTGGCGGGCGCCACGGCGAGGGCACGGGGCCTGGCCCGGCGAGGGGAGGGGCCACAGACAAGACACCACATGCTTCTGGCGTGGCCACGCTGGGCAGCAGGCAAACGCTTTCCCTTCCAATCCAGGCCCCGAGTGGCTCTCTTTGGTTCGGGTGGCCAATGGGACGGCCCCGGGGCGTGTTGGGGGCGGGGTGTCGGTTGCGGTCGTCACGGGACACCCAGCCTCTGGGGCCACCCTTCCTTTAATCCAGTAGCTCACACCACAGAACATCCAAGCAAGGCACACACTCGACTTTGCAGTGAATATGAATCTGCGTGATGACGTGTGACAAAAACAGACACTTACTGCCGTAGGGAGAGTTAGCGGAGGAGCCATTAAGAAATCCAGGCGAGCCAGGGACCCCTAGATTGGCCATGGCGCCACTTCCATATCCATTCATGCTAGTGCTCACTGTGTTGTAATTGGATTGCTGGGGAGTACTGCTGGGCACGTATCCTCGCGGGGACACGCTGCTCGTATTGCGACTGTAGCCGACTGTTAAAATCCCCCCCCCGGCCAAAAATAACATTATTATCAGCGTCAGACACTTGGGGGGGGTTCCCCGAGAATCTATATCATCTACTAAACACTGCTAGTTGACCTTGGGCTTCCTCTCGGCCTGTGGCCTCTGCCAGATCGCACAGCCCCAGCGCTCCCTTGCCAGTGAGCCCGGGCTGTCTGTGGGCCTCCACGGCTGCCCAGAGCACCCTTCCTTCTAACCGTCGTTGCTTTCACGCGTCTCTTTCGAAGCAGTGATCAACAGCTTGGATTCCTGCCTGTCTCCCCTCGCCCCCGCCCCCTCCGCGCTCGGAGCGTGCAGCTTCTGCACACCTCCAACTGCCATGCTGACAAGGGAGCTGGCTTGTGGCCGGAACTTCCCTGCAAAGGCTTTTAGGGGCTGTCTTTGTGGCTGCGATTCCTGCGAGCAGGAGCGAGACAGAGTGTGGGTGCAGGGAGCAAAAGTGAGGCACAGTGCAGAGCTCGGAGGTGGCTGCCTGCGTTCTTTACAGAGGAAGGGACTCCAAGGCTGCTTCGAAGGACACCCAGCAGTGACCTCGGTGGACTGGATCACTGAGCTAAAGGAGAAGGGGCGGGGGAGGCGAGGGGTGGTTCTCTCCATGGGTTCATTCGAGACTAAGACCCCCAACGCCACCCTGGAATGGTGTGCAGGAAGACGCCTCCTGGCTCCCTCGTCACCGCCTAGTCTCTGAAGGAGTGCAAAGTCACTTCCACATAAGCTAAGGGACACTTGAGTGACAGCACCACAAGGACCAGGCTCTCTGACACTGCCAGCACTGGCTGCAGGGCGTGCAGCAAGTTCTGCTCTGCCAGGAGGAACAGGCCCAGCCGGGGACACGAACGTGACCCACAGTGAATGTGCCCCCACAGTCCCCAGCTGCGTCCAGCGCCTCCAACTGCAGCTAAGGCCAGTGCCTCCCCCCCCCCCCCCCCGCCCCAGCTGAGGAGAGCCCGGTGTGGAGCTCACCTTGGTCGCTGGCTTGCGATGTCTCGGACACGTTGACGGCTAGCTGACTGCTGAAGGAGTTCACGCCCATCATGCCGCTGTGCGCTGGGGTGTTGCCCAAGGTAGGGATCTGGTTGTGATTGCGGGGGACACTGTACAACGCCTCCGCAATGTCAGCCGCTCGCTTCAGGATGATCTCCTG